CAAAACGGCAATGGAACTTGGCAGTGAGTCTATTCCTTCCCTACTCTATCCAAAACAAGAAAAAAAAATATTGCCTTTACACACTTAACTGCTTCCCAGAGCTGTGATAAAAATATGTAGATGGCTTAGACCCAGGGCTGGATTTACACTGTTGCCCCAAGGCCAGGTTCCTTGTTGCCCCCCAATGATATTTACCAATGATATTAATAATTCTTAAAGCTCTGATATGGCTGCAGAACTCGCCAGTTCTCTGGAGAACACAGAGCTGCAGATAGTATGTTCTGATCAAGGAGCCCACACCTGCCGCTGCCCCGTACAGCTCACCACCTCTGCACCGCAAGAACCTCAGACCGCCAGCGGTGGGACGTCACCCAATCCAGTGCTCCCCCCCCCCCCCCTCTGACACCACTGCCGCCCTGCTACTCCCTGCAGCCCAGCCCTGAGGCTATGACCTTGTAGGGAATTCGGTCCTGCTTAGACCAGGGGTAGGCAACCGTGGCAATTCAGCCATTGTGACAAAACAAATCCCATCATGCCTCTATCTTTGGGGGCTGTGGTTGTCGGAGTTGTGCAATGCCTCAGGGGAATTGTAGCTTCACAACAGCTGGAGTGGCAAGTTTGCCTACCACTGGCTTAGACTAAGATGCTACAGCAGGAGTGGGAAATCTCAGCACCCGTTGTTGAACTAGAAGTCCTGTAAGGCACTGCAGGACTCTGACGGATACAGGCAGAGGCATGATGGAATTTGTAGTTTCACCACAGCTGGAGTGCCAAGATTGCCTACCCCTCTGCTACAGCTTCTTAGACTACTGATTACTACACAGGTCTGCAACTGGTACACACAAAAATCCTTCCTGAATCTGCCTTTTTATAAACTGTTAATAGTAGAATTTTTGCAAAGCTGCCAGCTTGGTACGGAAGCCATTGTATGGACATGATGGTACAGGACACTATTAGTTTTCCATGCATGGTGATCCCAGACAAGGTTTGAGTTTCTTGGCCCACCTAGTAGTGGCCAAGGTAGTGATTCTATGGTGATCTGGTATATGATCTATGGGATTTGTGATGAGGGTTGGGGAAAGGTGATAAGAGATCAGTGATTGGAGGTAAGTGGCTGAGCACTTGTGCACCAGCAATGCTTACTGGAAATAGTGCTGCACTACTACTTTGGACGTGGCATGAACTTCATCTTCGATCAGAGGCTGTATGCCAAGGCATTGGTAATGCGACTACTACAAAAGCGATGCATCCTGGGATAAATCTCAAAACACTTGTCCAGCGCTGTTGTAATTTTAGGCATAGAGATACTGCACCATGAGGAACCTATCCCGGTCACCTTCCTTACTTGTATGGGGCAAAACCAAACCCAAACAAAATTACTTTTTAGCTTTATAGGGGAAAGGTTGGAACTTCTGAGGGGTTTGAAATGCGGTTAAGGAAATTAAGAAACCCCTCCAATGGGCAGCAATAAAAGCTTGACTGAAGTTAAACCATCCTCATGCCATACAAATTCAGATTTCAGCTTTATTTTTGCTTAAAATGTATTTTCATAACCAGATTATAGGTTATAAATTAGCTTGAGCTTATGCTCTTCTACATAACATAATGCTCTTCTACATAATAATAAGGTGCAGCACATCTCTTAGCTAGTTTTGGATAAAGCAGAAAATGCTTATGTTTGCGGCCTGAGTCTCCTTAGGGAGATTACCCTCCACTTCCTGTCTTGGTGACACAAAACGAGAAAGGAAATGTCTCCAAGTGAGAGGCTGGCACCAGAACAGGTGTACCCATTGAAAGATTTACCCACCTTTCATGTTTCGGTAACAGCTTTAAAATTTTGGATTTCCTATCGTATTTTGTCCCATTGAGAGGGGTTGGGACACAGCAATAAAAACCTAACAGGGACCCCACCTCTTTGAAGCTCTATCCACAAGTTAAAAAAAATGTTTTTAGATATAATTTAAATCCTATAATATATTTTGTATAATTTATTAATAATAATAATAATGCTGATAAACTTTAATCTCACAGCGCCACCTATCGTCCATTCTCCAGATGGCAGCCGACGAGAACGTCCCCGGCCTCTATTAGAAACAATGGCGACTCTTCTTGTGCCATCTAGCGGTCGGACTCTGTATGACACTAGCACAACTGAAAGAGGTGGCGGAAACACTAGAAGCTTTTTCCAGGAGGAGAGAAGAAAAATACAATGCAACTGAGTAAAGAACATCAACCGCCAAAAAATAAACAAGTAATAGGCAAGTTAGAGTGCAAGAAGGTCAGTGGGCTAGGATAACGGTTCAGGAAGTGGGGCAGGAGAGCATACGGGAATTAAGACGGAAGTGACTCGGTCGCACCGGAAGTGAGGCTGCAAGTGTGACAGAATTAGATTTCCCCCTGTTGCTGATCACGTGTATGAAGACAGTGACCCTGAGAGGTAAGAGCGGGTAGTAGGTGGCAATTTTTTGTTCTGTCTCTCAAAGCATATTTCGCATAGATAGGTTTTATATAGAATGGGGGCGACCTGCAGTTATAAAGAAGGCATGCTGGGGATTGTAGTTTTCAATACATCTTGCTCTTGTCCAGCTTGTGTCACCCAACTACCTGGCATGTAAACAGGGACACTTTTTAGAGCAGAAATATTCAGGCAAATGGCACCCTCTTACTTCTTCCTTGCATACAGATCAGGGGACATGTTTGTATATTTACAGGACCTGCGGTGGTCATCATCAGCAGAAAACAGGAATTATTCCTAACAGTGAACCTGTACTGTACCCACACTAGGCAACATTTGGACTTCACAAATCTATATAGGAGGGGGCCTAATAAAAGATAAACGTATGCTCATCTCTAACTCACTTTTCAATCTCCCTCTCTCTTCCTAGGTTCTGATAATATTTTTGGTGGGGGCTTATAATCAGTCAGCACAGATGTTCCGCGGAGCAGTAGCGCAGGTAAGATCACCTTTTTCATGCTTTTGCTAAACATACAGTAGCCGTGTTGAAAGCTGAATTGTTAACCCAGTTTGATGTTAATGGCTTTGTTGGGATGGACAGACTACTTGTCCTGTGACGCAGAGCTTAGACGTTTGCTCAGATGAAACTTGCTGTAGGGAAGGGTCACCAAATTTAATCCTACTGCCCTACAGAGATCACATGACCACATGCCTAAACAACAAAGGGAAAACTTTTAGTTCCCATGATGCCATGTAAGGTTCCTTTGTTGTGCTGTCAGTCGGTAGCATGTAATTAGGGATGGCACAGAACATTTTACTGGATGTCAGATCCTGGGTTAAAAGTTTACTCAACTCCATTTGTGTTTGCAAACTAAAATGTCATCCAGTTAGGATTTACATCTACTTTGAAGAGACCCTGTCACCATATTAAAAAAGTGCAGGTTGATTACATAAAAATAAATACTTTAATTGCTTGCTTGTAGTGTTTTTGGTTCCATAAATTATTTTTTTTAAATTCATTTGCAATATGCCTCTGAACTTGTTAGCAAATTTGATCACTACGGGAAGAGTCAATTTCCACAGCCCACAGGGAGTATCTAATAACGGTCATTGCTGACCCAGCTCCTGTTTCCCTCACCTCTCTACAAAACATTTAATGTAAAGAGGAGCGAAAGGGAATACTACGGTACACTTAAGTGACAGCCCAGAGTCTGCTGGGGCAGCCGACATCACGTCCAAGATGGCTGCGCCCCGGCAGCAGTCTCAATAGTTTTGGATGTCTACATAAGGGAGCCTTTTAGAGTTTAATAACGTGTAAAATGATGACTGTGATTATGTGTATATGTGTATACGTATGTATGTATGTATGTATGTATGTATGTATGTATGTATATATAT